TTAATTTATAAATAGGTAACTAAACAAATACATTAATCTAAATGTAACATAAATTGTCATCATAGAAAACAGCTTTTATAACTACCTATGTAATTATATTTACAAAATAAATAGTAATTTCCTAATGGTAGAATGTGTGTACATATATACTAAATAAGTCAAAATTAATGTGTATACAATTATACTATAAAATCAATCCCATAAAAAATATCTTAATTAAATATGTCTTAAATACATAATGTTAATAAGTAGATAAAAATTTACTATAATATTACATATGACAGATTCCTTTATTAAAAAAATATAAAACATTTTTTATCTTAAACCTTAAAGAATAAATTAAGAACTTTCAGTTTCTACCTACTTTTATCATATAATTAATCATAAAATGAATGTGTACCAATCAAACAAACCTAACAACCTTTGTAATAAAAATAAAAATTTTACCTTTATGAAACACAAATTTGTTTCCTGTTTATGATTATTGAAAGTTCATCTTACGCTGTACAACAAACACTACTATTCTAACTTAAGTTAATAATAACAGTATTAATAAGAGTTACAGAAATTACGTAAAGCATAATACACTAATACAAGTAACCAGTACACCTGTTGCTTAAGTATAGCTAGCAAATGTTTTAAAATATAAAATATAAACAATACACTACTTAATTTATCTTACTGTTTTTTATTTTTCTTTGAAAAGATAACTACCTAGATAAAATTATTTTTATTAAAATAAAGAATTCTACTAAAAAAAAACGACTAAAAGGTGTGATTGAAACGACAAAACGGCTTAACAGAAAAAGTTGATCATGTTTCTTTTAGAGTCATTAGTTAACTTTATGAATTTTTTGAAAAAGTAACAATAAAAACTGTTCATTATTAAGTCACAGAAGTTTTGGAAGAAATTAAGCCAAAAATACTTAAAAAAGTTTGAAAAAATTGTGGCCTAATATTTCTCAAGAAAACTATGGATAAGATGAAACAACTTCAGATAAGGACACTGATTTCATTCAAGTTTTTTAAGAGTTGGAAGGTTGTGCCGACGTGGTAGAATATGATATTTCTGTTTTGTTATATTGTGAATGTTGGTCATTAGGTATTTAGTGAAGATGAAATGGTAAATTAATGTAATAAAAACACAATAACAGAAATTGACAGTTCAGAAGATGAAGATGATGGTACAGATCAATCAACAGGCTCAGCACATGATGAAGCAACTGTAATGCTGGAACAGTTGATGACTAACTTAGAGAAACAAAATGAAACATCTTTTGCAAAGCTACTGACCTCAAGATGTCTAAAACATTGCAGAGCAAAATTACACCAATCATCATATTAATATCATGGAGTTTTTCATGTGAGATTAGTTTTATTTTCTTTAATTTTCTATAAATATGTATTGATATATATATATATATATATATATATTACAATAATAACAATAATAATATGTAATGTAAAGTTTTGAATTTGTATAAATACATAAGATGTTTTTTGAAAAAAATTTATTAGTAAGATAAAAAAAACATCATTTAGTTTAATTCGGATTTTCAATAATGCGGATAGAATAAAATAATATTAAAAATTAATGTTTAAGTATATTTCAATACTAAAATAATTCAATTCGTTATTAGTGTTTTTTATAATTAAATTCATTGCTGTTAACCTAACTTAATCTTCTTTCAATAAGGAGTTGAACATAACTTTTAAATTTTAAAATGTTATACAATTCATAATACTAAATTGTTAAATATTAAAATAGAATTATTGAATATAAGATACATGATATAGTTTTAAATTTAATTTTAAACTTGTAACTTATCTTTAGACAGATTAACTAATAATAGTTCACTGTCAAAAAAAAAAACATTTTTATAACACAAATGATTGGTTTAAGCAATAATTTTATATTAATTTTTTTATTAAAAAATAATAGTAATATAAAATATTTAGTCATTCTAAATATTAATTTTAGTTCAGTCAAATAAATCACTAATAATAATTTTTATCATTAGTTTTTGAACATATTATGTAACATGTATACACTTTAATACTACAATGAAAATTAATTAATATTTAATGACATTTTACATATTTAAAATTTATATCTAATAATAATAATACTGTGGGTTACTTTTTTTTTAACAAGTTCATAATAATTTAACCTTTTTCTACTAGTTATACCTACTACTTTTACAATAATTTTCAAAACCCTAATAATTAATACTAACAAGTAACTACCCAAAGTACATAAAATATAGAAATGCATATTTAATAGATTAGTGATATGTACATACAGGATAATTCATTAATTACCATATGAAATTATTTTAAAAAATACTGATCAATCATAAAAAAAAAAGTAAATTAACATATTTTTGTTTAGCTGTACAATTTTATAATTATCATAGTCCAGTTAAATAGTTAATTTCCATATTTTAAGTTATACAATATAACACAAAACATAGTTACATATTCATCTTTTATACTACTATAATATTGTTAAAAAATATTTAAATATTGAAAGAGTATAAATTATTCATTAAATTACTTAAATAAATGTCCTCATCTAAATAGTAATTTTGTTTACTAAAAAAAAACTTGGTTACATTAATAGACTAATAATTTTTTCATAGATATACAACTATCTACAATATTTCATTGGTAAAAATAAAAATGAATTAAGACTCAGCCTATTAGTAATTTTAGTTATTTATTGTCTAATTTTAATTAATAAATAACACATATTATTTTATAAGATAATAAATTTCTATTAATATTAGTATGTATATTTTTCATTTTATAATAACACTTAATAAATTGTATAGTATAATTATTTTTTTCCTAAGGAACTTAATTTCCTTAATTTATAATATTAGCTTTTTTATGATACTTACATTAAAATTAATTAAAAAAATTTAAGTAATATTAAAAATAAATTGGTATTTCTTTATTATAAAAAGAAAATATTACTATAGTAAGAACAACTGTAAAATTTGACACAGTTAAAATGTTTAAACTAAAGTAATTGTATCTTGTTTTTTTAGTAGAATTATTTTAAACATCAACACATTTAAAATTTGGGAATAAGATAGTTATTGTTTCATTTAAAACTATTAAAAATAATCACAGCACATATATTTAGGTGTCAGTTATTAACAGCATAAAAATTATCAATATATAATATTCATTTATCATAAATTGATATGGAAACTACACAAGGAAAATTTTTTTATTCATATTATTCATAATTTTAAATTAAATTGTTTATTCATTGTTTATTAATGATATCTACCTTTTTAAACTGTTTATACATTGCAATATTTTCATATATTATTTGTCAATTGTAAATGTGATTTATTATTGTCAGTATATTCCTATTACTAAATAGTAATTCAACCAGTTCAGTGACCAAGTGTCATACATGAATATCAATTTAATTTAGAAATGTTAAACATATTTTTAATGTAACTAGATGTTTTATCATTGTTAAACGCATACAAATTAAGAATAAAATGTATTGTTACCTAGTATTTATGTTTAGTAAGAGTGTATTATAACAATAAATATGTATCAACTATAGTGAACTAGGTTGGCAATCTTAATAAAAAATATTTAAAATCAATACATAGGTGACTCAATAAAAGATCAAATAAGTTTTTTTTCAAATTTAACTCAAATATAACAATATGATTTGCATATAAAATTAGGATTTTAGTTACAGTAAGCAATTATTCATTATTAAAAAATATCATCAATCATTTTTTAATTCTTATATTATTTGATATCTTCTTACCTCTTAAGACTTATCATACACTTTACTTTCATATTAGAGAAATAATGAAGTGACAAAATATAATATTTTTAAATAGAAATGCTTACAAATATGCCTATGTTCAATTATAAAGCAATGATGTACACCATGGGATACATATGGCAAATGTTTGTCTCAACTCTTAGGTTGAGTAATATAATGCAATTTCAATGCTATGTTTTATTCTCATTGTAAATTTATAAATAAATATCATATCAAGTATTATTTGTTCATGTAGGTAATCAAAACAATTTTATTTTGTTTCAATCACAATAATTCAATTAGTACCTACCTGTTTGTAATCATAATTCTTTATAACAAAACCTTAAATAAATCCAAAAAATGACAGTTTTATAATAGAACCCAAACTTAACGTATAAAATTATATTACTAATAATATACAATAATGTATAAATTTTGAATACTTTATAAGAACTGAATAGTTTTGGTAGAGAAACAATGTATTTTTGTCATAGGAAATATCAAAAAAAAATTAAAAGAAGCCAGCTTCTTGTAGGTATTGATGCTAGTTAATTTTTATTTATTGATCATTTATTAATATTTAATAACTTAGTCTGCCAAGTATCATAATAATTATTATTCAACTGGTACTGTATCAAGTGGCATAGTCAAATATGTTTAATTTAAGTTAATATAACATTAGACCTTGACCGCAGACACGGTAATCCTACAGAATATGCACAACCAAAATTGTATGGCTCGATTACAACTTTTGAAACGTGATTTAACATGCATAACATATAACGACAAAAAAAGAACAAATCATACACCAAACGAAAATAACTAACATAATGTGATATCGTAGACGAACAATCAGTTAAATTGTGAACAAAAAGAGAGATTAAGTTAATGTGAACAAGTATTGTTGGCATCACATACTCGTCATAAGAAAAAAAATTTTACGCAATACATTACAATACTTGATTGCGCAGATGATATTGCGGACAGATGTGGCTGGAGCCTCAATACCCGAACCAACAACAAGGATACTGGGCACAGGATTTCCAACAAGTTTGTCCAATACGTGCAATAGTTGTCGAAATAATATTATATTATTATGTAATATTATGTGCATTCATAACACATTATGATACAATGGATCAGTGACAGTTTAGCTATTAGGACTATTAAGTAGTACAATATCGACGGTCATATTTACCAGACGAAACTGGGTGCATGTCACGGCGAGGGTAGTCGATTCAACAAGCGATTGGTGCTGCTGCGCAGATCATGTCCCGCGATCGCGTAGAAACTACAAGCTACAAAACACTTCGGCACTTCGAATCCGGTTCGAACGGGAGCGGCGAACGCATTATCATTATCACGATTTAATAACAAAACTAACACGGCGACATCGGCATTGTTGTTGTTGTCGTAATCCACTGTCGAACGATTCCTCCGCGAGATATAGACGCATTTATCACTTTTCGTATAATTATGATTATTATTATTACTATTATTATTATCCGTAGAGATATGAATGCGCGCGCGGCATTCGTGCGTGTGTGCGTGCGTGTGCGTACGAAATAAAAATAATATTACATGTGTACGTGTGAGTGTGAGCGAGTGAACAGACGATTGTCCGGTTGACCGGCGGCGTGCGTGCGCGAGTAACGTTGTGTTTACACGATCCGGCGGCCCGAGTACGATACCACGAAAAATCGTCGTGCGTAAATGGCGCGCGCGTTGATGTCGCGAGAGGGGAAAAAAATAACCGTACGAGCGCGTACAATATTATTGTCCCTATTATTTCTGCCGAACTCGGCTTCCGGTGTCGTCGGCCGGTTGCGACGGCGGCGGCGGCGGCGGCTACTATCCGGTGAAATTTTTTGTCACGTTTTCATACGATTATTGTTCCCATTGCTACGCGGTTCGACACCGTAAATCGTGATGTATTTTTACAATTATTGATCGTCTGTGCAACGTTATTACTATTGTTTCTCTTTGAAACCTCCGACGTAGCGAAAATCAAATCGCCGGGTAGAAGGTAGAATTGTAAAAACGTTCACCAGCAACACCACCACCACCCACCCACCGCCCGCGAAATCGTAGCAGCCGCTGCCGTCGTGGATGGTGCAATCACTACAGTGTGCATTCCAATATGGCCGGTTAACACAAAGCGCGTGTACAGTGTACGCAACACAACACATGCTACGTTTCGTTGACCCTGACCGTAAAGATTATACAGCGCGCGCGCGCACACCAACATCACCACCACCACCGGCGCGGCACCGTAACCGGCTGATTGACACGACGCTTAACGGCGGCTGTAGCGTACGCACGCACGCACCGGCGACCGGTTACGTTTTACGGATATTAACCGCATAGCTATTCGCTCAACACACACAATAGTGTAACGTCGAGGATACGCTTGTTGATGTTGCGAAACCGCAAACGCGGTTCTCGCTCTCCGTTCGACACACCTGTCGGCGCGGCGGCGGCGAGTCGTCCCTGAACCGTTTCGCGCGACCACTTCCACAGCTAGTACGAACCGTAGTTCCCAGACGCTCGGAAAACCGTTCCGCCTGGTCGCCATCTCCCTCCACGCGTATACGTTCTTATCGCCAATCCGGTCGATACGTACGCGGCGCTCCGTTGCACGAAACGTTCCGCCGGCCGAATACCTCACCCTTGTAATCAATTCCGTGCGAGCCCCTCCCCCTCGACGATACCTATTGACTGATACCATGCGTGCAAATCTCGATCCTGTAGATCGCGGAGACGTCGGCGGACCCGTATCATCGGTTTACGTTTAACGCCCCGTTCTCGTTTTTTTCCCCTTCGCATTCAATATCACCGCGTCCCGGCAAAATGTGCATCGCAGTTGCCCCTTCGTTACCCGTCGCTCGTCAGTAGTATGCATCGCGTCGGCACCAGGTACGCCAAATGTCACAAACATCCCGTTGAATCCTAAAACCGCACACTTGATTTTTACGTTGATAAGGTCCGTAGGCTTAAAACCGCACACTTTTTAACTATCAAAATCGCACACATTTCAAGTGTCAAAACCGCACACATTTCAAATGTCAAAACCGCACACTTTTAAGTCTCAAAACCGCA